TACTGTATGCTTTAGTCTATATTTATTTTGTATAATAGAATATGATTATCAATTCTAGGTTGCAAGCCATCACACTTGCACTATTTTGTTATCGTTATATCTGAGTTGTATTTTAGGCCCTAAGTAATTATGTATGATGATATATAGTTGATAAGACCAAAATACTAGTGCAAGTGTAAGAATAATATTTTACACATGTTAAAATGGTTTTTGATGCAATGTAATGGAAATTGCCTCCCCCTTTGTTTTTGGTGAAAAGGAATTGAGGAGTGATTTTATGCTATACTGGTGTTTAAGTGTATATGATGTGTTATATTGATAGTTCTAAGCTCAATGGACATGGTTTAGGTGTTAGGAAAAGCTTTTAGCACTTGTTGTAGGTTTTGGACACCCTTTTTTGGGTGAAAGCTGTGAAAAAGTGATCAAAATATGTTTAGGTGTCTAACTTCTTAGTGTGACTTGTTTTGAAAGTGAAACCTATGCAATTAGTTAGTTTATGAGAAGAGCTTTTCGTAGACACCTAAATCATATCATTTGAACACTGGATGGAGAATTGGGATGTATAAGAAGTTTCCTGATTCTACTATCAAATGACAACAGAATCTGCTGATACTTCGTACAACATGCCGCGGCGTATAGCACCTGCGCCGCAGCGCATGGCATAAAGCAACATGTCACGGCACATTGCCCTGTTTCACAACAAATGAATTGTTCTTCACTATTTTTAATTGTTTTCAATTTTTTACACTCCTTAGAGATATCCCATGCTTCTATAACCTATTTTTTACTCTGATATTAAGAGGTTATGATTGATTTAAACCCATTTTGATTATGAAAATTTGGTATCCCTTGATTTTGAAATTAAAACTCAATGGTCGCTTTAAAAGGTTAATCCTTTAATTACCATAAGTTTTATTGATTAATGATGTTTAGTAGAGTAAGATTTAACATCAGAGCTATCGATGCTCAGCTTGTATGCCAGAAATCAAATTCCAAAAACAACATGCCATAGTAGAAAATAGTGACGATCGACTTTGTGCCTTAGAAGATGCCTTCTCCAAGTTGGCTAATCTTCTTAATGATGTGCAAGCCCTCACCAATCAAGTGGTCTAGATCATACGTGATTGTAATGACTCTCTTGATAAGGGTCCTGCAAGCAACAGTCATTGCAGAGAGCATCCACGACCAGAAAACCAATAAGTATCAACCTCGTACATGTTTTACAAAGATGGAGTTTCCTAAATTTCAAAGAAATGATATCTTGGGATAGATCTTTAAGTGTGAATTTTATTTTCAAATAGACAACACACCAAAGGATTGGAAGGTTCTCATGGCCAGTTTGTATCTCGATGAAAAGGCTTGGCAATAGCATCAAGCCCTTACTACTTTAAATAAAGGTAGTAGGTGGACTTGGCAAGAATCATGGAAGAATTGAAGTATAGGTTTGGACCCACCCATAAAGCTCTAATAGAAGATCTCATAAAGCTTCATCAAATAGGCTCACTCAAAGAATGTAATAATGAATTCAATGCAATTGCTTGCAAGATCATACTTTTTGAAGATTACCTTGTGTAGACTTACATGGTAAGCCTTGATAAAGAATTTGCTGCACATATTCACATGTTTAAGCCATAGTCTTTGCAAGAAGCATGAGCCACATGCATGTATGAGGTGAACAGCTAAAAGGCACGTGACCAGACTCATAACAATGACTCACAACCTCACTTTGTTTAGTAGATGTGGAATGATGATACACACACTATAGGGAGTCCCTTTGAGTTTATCCAAGTAAATATAGAGGGTCGAATAGGTGGAAGAGTGCAAAATCTCCATCTAGCAATACTAGGTCTTATTTTAGAAAGGATAAAATGGTTCAATCTTCTAATTCTTTTTCTTTTGCATTCAAGATAGCCTCTTTTGCCTTTGTTTCTTCTCATGTAGGTACTAGGTCTTCAATAAATAATGCCAGATAAAGTAAAAGAATTAAGAGCCAAGAATTTGTTTTTATTGTTAATAACCTTTTTCCAAGGACCATATATGACCTCAAACATAAAAGATTGCAATTGCAACTCATTTCAATAGAAGATGAAGTACTCAAAGAAGTTAAAGAGGACACAGGTCAAGAGTTTGAAGTCCCAGAAGAGTCTAAATGCATACCAAAAAATTCAGAGTGTTTGCAAATTTCACTCCATGTAATTCGAGAGAGTGTAGGACCTTCGGCTATGAGGATTTAAGGTTATGTTGGAAGATGATAGATCCAAATACTCATTGCTAATGAGGCTTTTCATACTTACATTGATTATGCCCTAGTTAAGAAGTTGGGTTAAAGGGCGAATTCTCATCTTGTTGTAGAAGTTGAAGTTGTGGGAGGTAGGAAATTGAAAGTCTTTAGTGTGTTAAAAGGAGTTAAGTGGAGAATGCAAGGTGAAGAGTTTGAAGGAGATTTTCAAATTTTAGAAGTTAGAACTTATTATATAGTTTTGGATTTATCTTGGCTTAAAACTATCTATCCGGCTTATTGGGATTATGATAAATTGTCCATGACTTTCTGGTATATTGGAAAAATGTGTAGATTGTAACCCTAAGAATCAATAGGTTGTAAAATTGCTCATTTTCAGAAGATTGAAAATGATTTATAAGCTAGAGGGCATGTGTTTATGCTACAATTATTGGAAAATTGTGATGAAGGGCAGCATTGCTTTTGATTATAGGGGGAGAATGGTTTTGCAAAAGTTGTTCATGTGTTTATGCTATAATTATTAGAAAATCTCTTCCTTCCTTGAGAGAGGATCACAACCATTCTATTATTTTACAAGAAGGTTCTGATCAAGTCAATTTAAGGCCTTATAGGTACCTAACAGCTCAAAAGAATGTTATTAAAGACATGGTGAAGGTGCTACTGCAATCACAAGTCATTCGAGAAAGAAGTTTGCCATTTGCTTCACCAATTATGTTAGTGAAAAAGAAAGATGCGTTATGGCGCATGTGCATCGATTATCGAGAATTTAATAAGAGGATGGTTAAGAATAAATACCTTATTCCTCTTGTAGAAGAACTTTGGATGAATTAAAAGAGGCTAAATGATTTACTAAGTTAGATCTAAGGGTTGATTACCATTAGATCCAAATGGAGCACACAAACATCTATAAACAGCTTTTCACACTCATTTGGACCACTATGAGTGGTTAGTGATTTTGGGCTCATTAATGCATCTGCAACCTTTCAAGATGCCATGAATAATATATTTAAGGAGTATTTAAGGAAATTTATCTTAGTTTTCTTTGATGACATTCTAATTTATAGTCTTTGTTTAAAATCTCACACATGACATTTGCATTTGGTTTTGAAAATTTTGAAAAAAAAAATTATTTTTGTGTGAAGGGAAGCAAGTATACCTTTACTGCAACACAAGTAGAGATTTTGGGACACGTTATTAGTGGAGGAGTAGTCTCAACTAATCCAAAAAAGATTAAGGTACTAATGGAATAGCCATAACTAATTACACTAAAGCAAGTAAGGTCATTCTTGGGACTTGCAAGCTACTATAGGAGGTTTGTTTCAAGAATAAGTCTCATTTATTCGCAAGCCATGATTAATAACAAGTCTCATTTAAGAAAAATAAATTCATGTTTTCATTTTAACAACAATCCATTATATATTGTTTATTGTCTGTAAATAAGTTTTTTGAGTAGTTCTTGTGTGTGATTCTTCTTTTTATTTTTGAGCTATATTATTAAATCTCTGTTGAGTAACATTTCTTAAAGCAAAATAGCCCTCAATAACATGAATATTTTTCAAAAATCATTTAGGTTATAAAACTAATTTAAATGTATATATTTTTTAAACTTCTCATCACATTTTCAATTTTGTATATATTATTGGTGTGTGGAAGGAGCTTGAGTGTCATCATGCACATTAGGTGTGTGAGAGGAGTAAATCCTCAATTAGAGCATTGTGAGTTTTCAAGATCATTTACCTTAATTTCTTTAAATCACCAAGACTGTTCCACATGATTAGCTTAGTTTCTAGAAGGAACAAAGTGTATTAAAGGAAAATAAGCATGAGTACAAGGTTCGGAGAACATTGAAGTTCCTAAACACTATTGCTAATCCTAGATAGATGCTAAAATGCCCAAGTCACAAAGCCACGCTGGATGAGACTGTATAAGTTGATAGAGTATCCCAATGTTTAAATTTAAATTATGTCTCCCCAACCACTCCACTGCTTCTAGCTGACAAGGCTCTCTTTGTGGTTGAGGACGCGCTGTGAGTTTTTAGACAGCATGAAGTGATGGCTCTTCTTGACCAATGGAGTTGAGATGCACCGTTTCATTAATCCTTGATTAATGGGCAGGGCTGTTATTTTGTTCCAAATCCAATCCTATTTGGCGGACCCAAGAACACTTTAGGCCTAACAAATATGTATATTATTCATTTAATATTTTTTCAAAAAATTTGAACATTTGATAATATATGTTATTTAAAATTATATTTTAAATATTTATTTACAAAAAAATAATAATGAATCAGGAGTTTGATATAACGAGAATAAATTAGTTAATATATTTTATATTTATTTTACTTTCAATTTTGTTGATTTTAATTTACTATAATATTTTTAAAACATTTATTTAACTATTATCTTACTTTTTTTTTAAATTCTTTAAATTGAATAGAGAGTATACAGTTAAATTATGATGATAGATTAATAATTTTAAATATTTTAATTTAATTTCAGTTAATAAAATTAAGTATTTTTAAAACCTTTAATAATATTAAAAATTAGATTAAAGCATAAAAAAAAGAAAGGGAAGTCTTCATAATTTTAACAAACCTAAAGATAAACGGTCTTATTGATGAAATATGGATGGACAATACGTTAGATTTTTATAATGATGAAATTTTGACATGTCGCCGATTTAAATATATTATAGAAAAATAATTTGAACAGGAGGAAGGCAGGAGATTTATAAGGGCTGATTGCTCGTATTTCAAGGTGGGAAATGAAGGTTGGATTTGTGTGCGTATGTCCGCCTTTCTTGAATCTTGACCCCTCCTCTCTCTCTCTCTCTCTCAGAGGACTTCACATAGTCTTAACTAGTCTCTCCTTTTGCTGTGGCATGTCTTTACCAAATTTTCCTTTTGAGTAATACTGACGGAAAACATTGTCGATACAGAAACTGAAGCTAAAGAGAGAAAAAGTACTCGAATTCGGTGGTTTTGCGTTATAATTTACATCCCCAGAAATTCTGAATTTTCAGGGGCTCGAACAAAATGGGAGTCGCTTTCCAGGATGCCATCGACCAGCTGCAAGCATTGATGGATCAAGGTCGTCTTCCACTTAATTGCTTGGATCTATCTAATGCTCGCTGATTTTCTCTTCTGCGTTTCTGATTAGTACTCTTTTCATGTTTTGCTTTTTGGTTCAATTTTGAATATTGCTAGGTAGTGAGCCATTGCAGGCGACATTTCAGGTTCGGGCTGTTTTTCCTTCTCATTACTCAATCTGATCTGGTTTTAGCACCAGCTAGACAAATTTCAGCTGTAATTATCTGGTTTGCTTTGTTTATGATCTTGCTTGTTCTTGAGTTAGTCACTCTTAAGTTTATTCCTCAATACTTATGGTCGATCTGTGTCTTCTGTAAGTGGTGTCCGGTGGATTCCTCGTGATTGGTGTGTCAAGTTGTTTTATTTGACTAATTGGTGCTCTCCTAGATGGCTCTTGGTGTCCTGGATATTTGGCACGTGATGTGGTGATGATTCTCTAGGGTCCATAAATAAGATCTGTTTTGAAGCGCCGAGTTTAATAGGGAAAATTTTTAAGTGTATCTTCTACTCAACTAAAATGGTTTTAGTATATAATCTTTTCTTATGTTCCTCAATTTATCTTTAGTCTTAAGTATGCTCTGTCTTCAGACTCATGTAAGAAAATCCGGGGATATGGGATCTCATGAAATTTGGGGATCTCTTTATCATTAATCAACACTTGATAAGTAGCTAAGAACAAGTAACTTGTCTAGGAAAAAAAAAATATATATATATATATATATGTATGTATATATATATGTGTTTGCTAGAAATTTAACGGGGAACTTTTTCTCCTTTCTGATCTGATGAGGGCGTTTATATTAAAATGTAAAAATTGAATAGACATATATTTGGAGAACTTTAATATCAGTTTAAAGTTGCCGGGGTTCATTTTTAATGATTTGTGGGATGAAGTATAAAGTTTCATGTCTATTGTTCAGTGCTGGTCATTGAAAGTTTTTTGTACTTGTTTCTTGATACATATTTTTCGTGATCTCCATCCTTATGGATCATGCCTGATTTCTTTATAACATTCTAAACAAGAATTATCGTTCTTCTCACTCTTTCTCTCATTTTTAACCGCTGTAATTTGCAGAATGTTCATCAAGGGTATATCACTGAAACATTGGTGCGGTTTCTAAAAGCAAGGGACTGGAATGTTTCAAAGGCCCATAAAATGGTATGTTTGTGTGTATCAGGTTTTCTTTTATTGCTTGTTCTGGAAATATATTATTCACTTACGATAATGTGTGTCTGTGCAGTCCAGCCTTACTGAGTTAAGAATATGGTAAACTAGGCATTACACAGGGCTAGTGCCTCTTGCACCATGAGAACCACTCCCTTCAACCAGGCGCTCGGAAAGCGTTTTTGGTGCTCTTTCCTTTTTACCATACAAGCGTCTGTTTTTCCTGTTTTCTAGGCAAGTGCCTTAGGTGCTTTTGTCGTTTTCAAAGTAATAAGGGAAGAGTTAGCTTACAAAATCTAGCCCAAAAATTAACAAGAAAAAAAGTAATAGAAAAAGCCTCGGACTAGGTGAGGAAAATAGAAATGAAAGTAGATTGTGGTCAAGCGGATGGCTATTGTAAGATAGAATGAGAAAAATTGAATTTAATTAATTCAATTTATATTCTATTTTGGAACAATTAGAAACTTACAATAATGCCATTAGTGAAGGAAATTATTTTATCTAATGCATGATAGGTGAAAAACTGGAGTATCTCAAAATCGTGTGCCTATTGTCATAGTCATAAATATCTGTGTTTTGAGAACCTTAACAATTAATGGTTAACGATGGTTCTGATTGATAAATAGAAAGTAGGAATAGTAAGAAGGCCAATATCAGAAGTCCAACCTGTCCTTAGAAAAAGAAAGAATATGATAAAAGAGGTATTCTTATTTTAAAATGGTTATTTATGCTATTAGATTTTTGGGATTATTTAAACAACCACAATTTAAAAAAGAAATCCACCCACATGAGACCGCAACCACAAACATTTTTTTAGTGTTAAGGTTAATTTGTTAACCTTATACTTTGACATGTGACTTAAATAGTGACTTTACAAGGCACATAATGTTTCCATGAGTTATGATAATGATTATCATGCCTTATAACAATTATTCCAAATTTACATAATTTTTACTACATTAGTGCCTTAACTCAGCTGTTCGTCTTTCTAGTTCCTTTTGGCTATGGTGTTTTGGAGGTCTAACCCCTTGAGAGCACCTTTTGCCTTTCACCACCTCATGCATGTTGTGAATTGGTTAAGATTCAATTTATAACACATGTTACGTTATCTTTCAGCTGGTTGATTGTTTGAACTGGAGAGTACAAAATGAGATTGACAACATATTAACTGTAAGGCTGAATTCTGCTATTCCTTATCTTGTCCAGTTCTTTCAGCAAATATTATATATATATATATATATATATATCAAGATAAGTGCATGTTCATTGAAAGACCGTCCTTATTGTGGTTCATTTTATCAACGTTTTTATTTTTCATTTTAAAGCATTATGGCAACTTTAGTTTACAGATGTGTAAGTGAGAAACTTGAGATATTACGTGAATCAGGCAATTTGGCATCTGGCATAAGTCTGCAAGATTTGTAGATTTTAATAAGTAGACACCACTCTGAGTAAACTTGACTAGGAAGTTTCTTCTTCTGTAAATATTATGCTCATTTATTTTTGTAATGCCATCCATTGCTTATATCTTTCTTGTGCCTGAAACTTGTGATTCTGTGTTTGTTGTGTGTGTGTAGCTTGTAGGTGTCGATGTGTATATTGAAGGAACAGAAAAAAAGGGTTTATCATAATTGTGGTGATGTGGTCCTGGCCAGTAGCTAGGCATACTTGCATTTGACATTGTGATTTGTTGTTCCAGGCCTTGATTCTATTCTACCTGCTATATATATATATATATATATTTAGTGGCTAAATCATGTTGACATTTATATCTATTGTAAAGGCTAATTAGTACGTGCTTATGCTGGTTGGTCTTTCTTTTTTCAGAAACCCATAATCCCTCCTGATTTGTACAGAGCTGTGCGGGATTCACAACTAATTGGATTGTCTGGATACTCAAGAGAGGTGATTTTAATTTTAATTTTTCAAATATATCAGCTGTTCTCTTGTGTGTTTGGCCTTGCTTTCAAAGATTGAAACTTACGTCACAACTACGCATATTTTATTATCAACATCAATAAAAAATATGACTTTTGTGGCATTTTGTTTTCAAACTCTATTTCTTATCAGCCTTCCATCCTTTCCAGGGGCTTCCTGTCTTTGCTATTGGAGTTGGTCTTAGTACATTTGACAAAGCATCTGTAAGTTTAATTAAGAAAAAAGAAAGGAACCCTGCTTTGTTCGGTACAGTATTAGTTTTGTAATAATCCTAGCACTCTAATGTCTTGTATTGTTTTATGTTTTTGTTATTGCAGGTCCATTATTATGTGCAGTCTCACATTCAAGTTAATGAATATCGTGATCGTGTAATATTGGTGAGCATGTGTTTTGAGCCTTCTTCAATAACAAGTAATAAATATAAGTTGAGCCTTTGTCCTTATGTTTCGATCCTCACATGTGGCTGCAGCCTACTACATCAAAGAAGCATGGTCGACCTATTACCACATGTGTGAAGGTCTTAGATATGACTGGACTGAAGCTGTCAGCCCTGAATCAGATTAAGGTACCTTTTAGTTCACCCGGGAACTTGGACCAGCCAGACCGGCATTGACTCATCCAAGATATTGTGTATTGAATATGTTGGTCTTTAGAATGAAGTCAACTTGGACCTAAAATTATAAAAATTGCCACTGTCTCTACTTGATATATATAGTGTTACCTCCCCCCCCACCCTCCTTACTATTATGTTACCTTCTGTTCTGGGTTAGGTTGAAACAACTACTGTTATTGCCTGACTAAAAGAGATATAAAACAGAGAATCATACCAAATTAATTTTTTTCCCCTTCCATTTGTTTTTAGTATTTCCTACGCACTTAGTTGTCTTTCATGTATTTGCAGTTGTTAACAATTATATCATCCATTGATGATCTCAACTATCCTGAGAAGACAAATACTTATTACATTGTGAATGTCCCATACATATTTTCAGCTTGCTGGAAGGTAAAATTATGTTTTGGTCTTTATGATATAGTTTCTGATGCGAATACCTATTGGGAGTTGGGCCTCAGCTTTATGCTAATCACTTGGCATCAGCAGGTTGTGAAGCCACTTCTACAAGAGAGAACAAGGAAAAAAGTGCAGGTCTTGCCGGGTAGTGGGCGAGATGAACTGTTGAAGGTAAGGTGGCATTTTTCTTTTGAAGTTGTCCTAATGGAATAAATTCTAGTGGAGAATAAGAACGAAATCAAAGGTAAGAAGATACAAAAAGAAAAAAGAAAAGAAAAATCTAACAAGCTACCTTATAGGGAAAGCAAGACCAGTCATGTGATAAGTTTCACGCCAGTGTTTATTGGTTTACCCCCCCCCCCCTTTCTCTATTTGTTTATCTTTCTATGTGTGGGCGGGCTTGCATGCGTGAGTGTATAGGCCTACGCATGCCAGTGTGGAATTGACTAATATCCCTCTGAAATTTATTATTTAAACAAACCATAAAAATGCAAATTGTAAGGCTTTTTAATTGAATCATCAATCATTCAAAAAGTGATGCGTCCTTGCAAGCCAATAGGACCTGTCAACGGATATGCAGAGGCTTTTGTTTTTTGCATTCAACTCTTGGCTGGGATAGTGAAGCTCTTGTCTACGAGGTTAAATAAAAACTTGCCAATTATTGACCTCACTTCTAAGGAAGTGGTGCTTTGTGGTAAATTGGTGTGCATAGAAGTCATTCTTTTCGAAGTGAATGTATTGATTATGAGATTGTCTTTATATTTTTATCTTCTGTTCCCTTGTTTAGTTGAATTTAACCATCAAAATTTCGTGTGTAGATCATGGATTACTCTAGCTTGCCACATTTCTGTAGACAAGAAGGGTCTGGATCATCTAGACATTCAGATAGTGGAAGTCAAAACTGCTATTCCTTGGATCATCCGTTCCATCAAGAGCTCTACAATTTCATCAGGCAGCAATCCAGACTCCATGAATCTGCTGAACCCATCAAGCAGGGATCTTTTCATGTGGATTTTCCCGAGCCTAAAGCCGAAGAATCTGAAATTGCTCAGACTATACAATCCGAGTTAAACAAGTTTGGGAATGGAAATGTGGTTTCTAACTCACTAAATAACCTCAAAATCAACGGTGATTGAAACCCTTGTGGGGTTGAGGATTTGAACTGATGATGAGTTAGCAGCTCATGGTGTATTTGCCCATCTAAAATGATCTGTGCTAATGTTGTAGGTTTTTGTGCTGTTTCTACGAGTATTGTGAAGAATTAGTCAGTCTTGTTTATGGAAGTCTGAGAAATTCAGGGCGTAGTCAGCATAATACAGTTCCCATCTTCAAATTATGCTGCGAATGCAGTAGAGAAATGTCAAATATAATATTTTATACCTGCTTTTCTTCCTAGTAATCAAAGACCTTATTCTTTTTAACGTTATAGCTCTTCTGATGAATAGACGTCTTCCTCATTCCACCATAAATAAGCATATCCAAACTCACGTGTCTTTTCTGCAGTTTCATATTCGAATATAGTTCACAGTCAACATTTATTTTGACTTAATGTCAAATCATCCCTTTGTTAATACTATCAATGAGATTAGAGATCTTGTCATGAGAGACTGAATATTTTTAAAGAAGCTAATAAATCCTTTGATTGGGTTGTTTGTCAAGTTTCAAATGCCAACTTTGTATCAAGATTTTTGACAATCTATTCTGAATGCTGAAATTGTATATTTTTTAAAGGATTTGAACATTTTTCTCTGCATGGTTTTTTGTGAATTTGTATTAAAAAAAAATTGATTATAATTGTCACATTATCTAGTTTGCTCTCACTCTTGTGCACATTAGAGTTTGCTATGGCTTGGTTCTACATGCTTTGAATTGTTTAGATGGCGAATTATTTGGATTTCATCGTATAATTTTGCATCTGAGTGCTAATTATTTGGATTTCATTGTATAATATTGCATTTGAGTGCTGTGTAATTCATCTTCGATGTCTTTTTTTTTTGTCTTGTTTCTTTTTCGTGGCTCCCCACATTAGTAAGATTTGAACTAGAGTTTTGCTGAGGGTTATCCCTTTATAATCATTTGTGATTTGTATAATCATGCGTGTATACATTCCTTTCCTGTAGGAAGGTTTACCCACAACTTTAGCCCCAAAAAAAACAAAAACACAAAAGAAACGGAAGGACTTTACTCACACACTCCCTCTAGCTCAAAAATATAAATATTTTTTTCTAGCTAATTTTGATTCAAAATATAAATAACTTAATATTTGTAAAAAAAAATTTTTACCCCTTATATTTTTTACCTTAAATTCTTGTGCGGTAAATTTGTAAATTTTTTCTCACTATCATAAATTATAACTAAGGATAAAAAATGAAAATTAACATATATTTTTATAAGAATAAATTTTTTATTGATATACAAATTATAATTATTGTTAAAAATTTCTTCTATTTTGAATAAAAGGAGCACATGGCCAACGAGGGGCACGAACCTGCGGTGTTCTCTTAGGCCTTGTTTAGTAGTACAGAATTCTGAATATAAAAATGGAATTTGGGTGGGAATCCAAATAGAGTAGTGTTTGGTACACATTAATCAAGATTTTTAGAAATCCTGATTCAATAAAAAACGGCAAAATTAGATTCCATCATTCTATCTATAGAATCGAACAAACTCCCTGAAATTCAATCTTTTCTCTTTTCTACCCTTCAACTCATCCGCCGTCGAACTCTGCCTGAACACCATCGCTTCGCAACTCGCAACCACCGCCTCTGCCTTTGCCGCTTGCCATCGCCATCGCTTCCAACTTTTTTGTGCCATCGACATGCCATTTCAGGAGTGTAAGAGGTTTGTTTTCTTGATTTACAGCTCCCTCTCCTCTGTCTTCTTCCCCTTCTATTTTTTCTATCGCGGGTTGCTGGAATCAAAGCCAGGCAATGACTTGTTCATTGTCAATGAACAACATTGTCAATGAACAACCAGATGAGCTTCTTTGATCTCCACTGTCATTCTCCCTTAGCTACCACTCCTTCAGTATTCATTGTGCATAGCAGGCATCGATCTTCACTTGATTTTTGTATATAATGATTGCTGCAAATTTTGTGCGATGGTGGAAGAAGGTTCAGGTGGGTTTAGTGGCAGCCATCACTGGTTTTGCGCATCAGATGGGGAGAGGGAAAGATGAAATCATGAAAGGCATAAGGAAGCCTTTTTTATTTGAAAAAAATTATTTTAAAGTTTTATCTTTATATCAAACATCCTTTTAAATTTTAATTCTATTTAAATTTTAATTTTAATTTTAATTTTAATTTTATCAAAAAAAATTTTAAGATACCAAACGAGCCTTAATTGAGAGACATTCTTGCCACTGTGCTAAAGACGTTTGGGCTTTCGGCTAGCCTACATTTTTGTGGGAGGTGACGTTGAGATTGCTTGAAGTTATATAATTCGAGAACATATTAATTTTTTTTCAAAAAAATTGATATACTCTTCTTCCTTTAATCCTATTTATATAATAAAATAAAGAGAGAAGATTAATTTTAATTCTATTTATATGATACTTTATTATTTTTTATATTTATCTTTACCTTCTTACCTTTACTAACTAGAAAAAATTATTAAAAGTAACTCTCTTTGTTGTTATTAGAAAATAGATGTGAAAATTTATTAAATTTTAAAATATAATTAATAAAATTTAAATTTTTGTTGATACTAGTAAAACGTGTGTTAGAAGTTATTTATAATTATATATAGAATAAAACCAAAGGGAGCATTATTTATGTTTCTTAATTTATGCATTAAAGTCAATTGAAATCAGGAGTTTACTTTCACGCTCTCCTCCCTCCCCTAAAAAAAAGAGAGTTCCAACAAAAACATATAATTTCAATAAAATATAGAACATTTTTAGTAATTTTTGTTAACTTTTTTGCAATAAATTACTTATGACATATGAATATAGCTATAAATTTATTTTAAAAAATAAAATTTTTAAATAATTTATCTGTATTAAGTTTCATCGAATTTGGGGAGTTTTAACAACCAAATATGTATTATCAACTTATTAAACCCGAAAATGAAAGTACTCCAATCCTATTTTTAAGACAGAGAGAGAATTTTTTTTGTCCTATTTATAAGTTACCTAATTAAATTTTCATTGAAAATTTTTTTATTTGACTTCCATTAAATGTTAGAGAGAGAAAATACATTGTCAAAGTATGTATATTTAATAAGAATAAAATTAAAAAATTATTAAATTTCTAGACATAGTTAATGAGTTTTAAAATTTTCTTTAGTTATGATAAAAATATGATAGAAGTATCTTATAAATAAGATTAGAATAGTAGTCATGATTAAGTTGAACACTCCTTATTTGTTTAGGTAACATTTAACTTGATGGATTTAAATTTAAATTTTAAATTTATAATCTCAAATTTAAAATCCTTTGTTTGTATTGTATAGATGATTTTAAAGATGAATTTAAGATTTAAAGTAAAAATAAAAAATAAAAAATTATAATTTTACCTTTATTCTTCAATTAATGAGAAGATAATAAAAAATGAGAGTTGAAATAGATAAAATTTTAAATAACTAAAATTTAAAGAAAATTTAACATTATAAAAAAGTTAAAATATGAATTTAGATTTAAATTAAATTTAAATAACAAAGGCTTTTATATATTTAAACGGAGGATTTTGTTTAAATTTAAGTTCTCATGGATCTATTCTAAACACATCCTGAGGGATAAAGGGCAGCGTCCTCAACCATACTCACGTAACAATAAAAAAATAAAAAAAACATTGTATTGCTCCATGTATAGACACCCCCGCCCTTTTTTAGTTTTTTAAAACAGAATAAGTAGTTTGGTCAAAAAAAAAAAAAAACAGAATAAGTAGAAATTAGATTTTATACCCGTGCAAGAAACATTAATCTACATTGTTTAATAAAATGAAAAAGAAGAGTGAAAGTTAAATTTTATTAATTTTTTTAAAAAGGACACAAAACAATCATAGTTCGTGATTTCTTTAATAACTTCTATTAATTATATTTTTTATTCCTAATATAATATTAAAAAAATTAGTTATTAGAATATATAAATATAAATATAAATAATAATTTATTTTATTTTCACATAATACACAAAATATATTACTAACATTTTATTTTAAAAATATAGGGTATTTTTGAACTAAATTTTGCCCCTAAATAAAATAGTCCATTATTTTCAAACTAATATTATCTTTTCATATTTATCCTCATTTAATAAGTTATTTTATTTTAAAATAAATATAAAATAATTTATTTATTATGAGCATTTTAAAAAAAAACACATTAATTACACCTTAAAACAATAAAAAAAAATCTTATATTTTTTAACATTCAAAATTCAACATCCAACTTTCAACTCTTCAAAAACTGCTTTATATTTTTTAAATAAGTGAGTACAATTTAAATTTTAAAAAGCTAAAACATAAAATATAATTTAAATTTAAATTTATGTTATTAAAAATTAATTTTTTAAACAATTTTAATTTATAAAAAAATAAAAGAAAAACATTTGCGTCCGATGCGAAATATGTAGAAGGGAGATATTATAATATCCGAATCTCTAACATGATATTATAATATTATAATAGACAGAAGATTCATAATTTTATTGAGACTTGTCGTTAATTGGAGAACTGTTCATCTACTGGAGAGCTGGCCATCCCACATTAATAAAGGTAATAAATTTGCCTTATGATTTTTAATCATTATAAAAATATAAAATTTCATAACAAACAGAGCATCAAATTTTATCACACGTAACGTGATAGTCCCTAGAATTTTGTCCCAAATCAGAGCCTCTAACGTCAAACAAAGACATAAGAAAGCACCAAAGAGATCAAGCTGGATGTCCACTATTTAATGGTTTATCACATCATTATTTTGTCTCATATATTGCTACAACATTAACAAGAAAAGCCATACTTCTTTTTTTTTTTTAATAATTATTGGAGTGTACAACAGTACAAAGAGATGATCCTCATAATGAAGAACGCCTCACCCTGGCATCTGGCCTGCAAAATCAAAATCCTCAATAGCCTTTTGTGCTTGAAGATATGCAGAGAAACTAAAGTATATCATTTCTTTTAGGACATTTGCTCAGTGGAAATAGAAATATCAGAAGAACCTTTTACCAAAAACAAAAAAAAAACAAAATGAAAAGAAAGCAAGAAATGTCAAAAACAGATTCATTTAGTCTATCCTTCTATATCAGTTAAGTGTTAAGAGACTTACCAGGATCTTCCATGTCGTAAAAGAAAACATAGGACCTGATCTCTCATTGTTCAAAAAGGGTTCATTACATTTGAAGTATTTCAATTATATTGTTCCATAGAAGTGAGTTTGGATCGAGGTCAATTAAGAAGAAGGAAGAAAAGGTATATTTGAAGATTTAATAAACAACAAAATGTCCAATCAAAATTGATTGGGAAAACGTAGGCTTTAGTCCTTGAATTTATGGTCACCCTGTGTACCAGTCCCCAGAATTGTAGTCAATTTTGGCCTTTCTATTACCAAATATTATTTCCACATTAACGACACATCATTTCGAGGGGCCTCAACCAAAGTTGACCATGATTTTAAGGATTGATTTCTCAATAAGAAAACTACAAAGACATTGGCCATAATTGACTACAACTCTAGGAACCAAAATCTGTATTTTCCCAAATTTATTTATTCTACCATTTCTTTCCGTTCCCCTCAACCCCAACATGCCCTGACAAATAAACAAGGAAAAAAATAGAGAAAGGCTTACATTAGCTCAAGTACAAGGGCAGACGCTCCTCCACCTCCATTGCAGACTCCAGCAACACCATATTTCCCACCCTTCTGTCTTAATACCTGCAACACATGAATTTTGTAAAATACCCACAGAAAGCAACAAAAATAAGTATTCACAATCTAGTCAATATATTTCCAAGAGATCTAGTATAAAATAGCCTGACATTGATCATTAAGTTCTAAGAATAGAATTTAATGAATTAAGAAAGGTTGATCTCTTTCATAAAGTTAATAGGTATTTATGTATCATTGTTGACTAAATGATACTAGAAGCTTCTAAAGAAGAGGTTTCTAGATAAATCAATATATCAAGGTCACATATTACCCCCAATAATGTAACCAAGATTCGAGCTCCGCTGCAACCAATAGGGTGGCCCAATGATACCGCTCCACCATGCACATTAACTCTCTCCTGTATATGATAAGACAGACATGAATAGGCTATGCTTCATGCTAGGAAAGAATGGAGGAAAAACAATATGCATATGCAGAAGGAACAAGCAGAAAGATGAGTTTGCATGACAGAAATATCCAGCCAAAAATTGTGTCATATCAATACTCACAGGATTAAGACCAAGAAGCTTTTGATTTGCAAGAACTACAACCTGCATAGACAATGTTATACAAGTAACATAAAATCCTGAATGGTATAAGATGATCTGTGTCTATTCATACCGAGAAGGCTTCATTAATTTCATAATAATCAATTTGAGAAGCCTTCAAACCAGCGTTTGATATTGCTTTAGGTACTGCAAGGGCAGGAGCAGTTGGAAATAATTCAGGTGCCTGCACAGACAATCTTCTATCAGCTCTAAAGTTGCTTATATCATATAATAACTAACACCAAACAGGTTACATTAACCTCTCAATGTACCTGAGCTGCATCAGCATATCCTTTGATCTTAGCTATCACTTGCAATCCAAGCTTTAGTGCCTTCTCTCCACTCACTAGCACCAAGGCAGCAGCACCATCACTGGTCAAGTTGATGTTCCCGCTCATCATCAATAAAAGAGAATACACTTTTGGAACAAGTGAAAATTATATTAAATGGACTGATTAATCTGACCAACCAACCAGCTAATAATTTTTAAGAATCACAACCAATCAGTTAATTTAAAATTTTAATAAATAAACAAAAGCCAATTTATGTCACCAAACTTCAAAAAATAATTTATATTAGCTAATTAAATTCATTATTATAAAGAAAAACCCATGTAAGGGGAGAAAGAAAGGACCTTATGATAGAAGCATTGCCAGCAGTAACAGAACCCCCATTCTGCTTGAAGCTTGGTCTAAGCTTCCTTAATTTTACTGGATCAAACTAACACATGTAAGAAAGATATTAGCAAAAGCAAAAATTTCCACAGAACAACCATAGCAAATCAAGTCAAAGAACATGGAGAAAGTAAATTCTATATAAGAAATTAAACATCCAGGAAAAGCAGTTATGGATTAAAATTAGCTGACAGAAGCATATCAATGCATGAACGTTGATAGTTGTTTGAATGCCTTAGTCTTTGATCCTTCATATTCAAAATAACATGGATATAGTAGTCACGGGAAGCATAGATGCACACTCAAGACAATTCATTCCTCTGATGTGCAAAAGAGCAAAAGTTAAAGAAATTTGCAGAAATGGGGTCAACAACTAACATATACAAAAAAAATTCTTTACTTCAATTGGTGAAGCTATTGCTAAGAGTCAAGGGTCAAACGGTTCAGATTTCTTAATTATCTAACAAAAAAATTTTTAATAATGTAAAATTAAAAACCTACAGGAGTGACTCTTCCTTTCTAGAGTAGTTACTGTGTCTGTCGAATCTATTTACCTTTCCCAAACCTTCATCTTTATCAACAAGCGTGGAAGGCTTTCCTCTTACGCCAGAAACTTTGACCTGCATGAGTGAAATTGAAACCACAAACAACTTGTTCCCATAAATCATCAATAATTTTATATCCACAGTTTTCATGGGCAAGAATTGAAAATCAAACCGGAACTATCTCCCAAGCAAAGTGACCAGCATTTTGTGCAGAAATTCCTCTCTCAAAGCTTTGAATAGCATAAGAATCCTGTGAGGTAACAGATGTAGCATGGAACAAACATATAAACCTTAGGTTCCAAATGACTGCAGTTTGGGAGGAGATGGACACACAAAGAGGGGGCAGGGGGAGAGATGAGTAATGTCATAAAAAATGGTTATACAAATTTCAATGAGCTTAGCTATATTGATCTATAGTTATATCCCTACAAATACTTTCAATCAAAAGCATTCTAGGCCATTCTCAAGATCAATGACAGTGCCAATGATGAATCAGAACACAGCATAAGAAACTAAACAGCAAGGCGTATTGATTCATGAATATTTATATGCTTAAATGAACACTAATTAAGGTTATGTTTGACAAAGAGTAATATAAATTACAAACTTTGAACAGACAGTTTACCAAGAGCCAATACCTGCTCATCTCTTGTTATGGCATGTTGATCAGCACATATTTCACCACACATTCCCATAGCAAAATCATTATAAACATCCCAAAGGCCATCTTTGAGCATTCCATCGATGATAGTATCATGTCCTAACCGGGACCCTTTCCTGGTTTAGATACAATAATTATAAACTTAATAATGTAATAATAACATCAATCACTCAGTAAATGAAATGATGGCCTATGAAATTCAGACGTCAACAAATTCTAAATAAATTCATTAGGTTAATACAGTAGACAATGCAACTATATGGTACAAAGTCCATATTGCCAAACACAGAACAGTTAGACTTCAGCAGCAAGATCAGCAAACTATATTTGGTCTTCAAGAAGAAAATGTAACTAGGGGATTTAAAGAATAAAATATAAAGTTCCCCTATTGTCCTCATGATTTCTGCAGATATCAAGACAACCATGCTTTTCCAAGAGAACATTTATTAAGGTGTCAGTGACTCATGAAATAAATGAAACCTTGCTTCAGCAATGTACTTAGGAGCATTAGACATGCTTTCCATACCACCAGCCACAACCACATCATTGATACCCATTTGTATGGTCAGTGCTGCAAGCATGGTAGCTGCAATGAAAATAATGGAGCATGGAGTCACAACTGACCAAATAAAATTTCAGTTTTTTGAGGCGAAGAATCTTCTTTCATATCAACAAAAAGAACTTACCTTTCATCCCAGATGCACAAACTTTGTTAACAGTGGTGCAGACTACGGAATTGGGTATGCCAGCACCTAATGCAGCCTGTCTAGCAGGAGCTTGCCCTAAATTTGCGCTCAGAACATTCCCAAAAATTACCTCTTGCACAAGAGATGGATCAACTTTTGCTCTCTTGAGAGCAGCTGCAGATTTAGTGATTTATTCAATAGCTTAAAACAGAAAAGATACAGATATTTATAGATGCATTGCTTGACTTAGATTTTGAATATAACCAAGTTCATAGCTCATCGCAAAGAGGATTAACTGTAACCTCATTAGATAGAGCAAATAATTTCAAAGGGGTCAAAATCCTTTAAATTATATCCTTTAGCATTTATCAAAAACAAAGTGACACGAGAGATTAATATTGTCTATGGGACTCAGTTTTCCTCTTTAAACCTGTTTTTTCCTCTCTCCCCTTTCCCTCCCCCTTCATCTCGCCTTGTCCCCTGGATTCCATTATAGGCCATCAATTTTTCCAGATTCCCAAATTCTCAGTTTAGTCAAGAAATAATGTATAAGACATGAGTAATGAGCTGAAGTTTTTATTATGAGAAGTAAGAACATTACCCTCAATAGCAATAGAGCCAAGCTTCGTCGCTGAAAGAGACGAAAGGATGCCAAGGTGGCCACCCATCGGCGTCCGGGCAACGCCAACAATACAAACATCTGTAATTAACAAAGCGGCGCCGTGAAAAGCAGATTAGAAACAATTAATACAAAGTTTTGATTTCCTTCCAGGCCCGAAAATTCTAAATTTCCATGATTATGATGAAGGAAAACAAACCCTAATATATGAATCTGTAGGGATAAAATTACCGAGTTAAATAAAGTACCAGAAGCATGAATTTATGATTAGAAGATCATCTGAACTTGTAATATTAATGATAAACTATGCTACAGAGAGATTCAGAACTTCTAACAGATAAAAGCACACCTCGAGGTTTTATGGAATCGGCAAGTGAAGACATTAGAGTCCGAATATATCTGCCAATGAAACTAGTAATAATAATACAGAATGATGATCACGGAGATACTGAGTTAACGAGCTGGAGCAAGAGGCGTCATGTATCATGTATGTATCATGTATCCATGAATATGGTTTGGAAGCAACTGCTCCGTTGAATATTATAATTCAATATTTACTCAAACTTAGTTAATTTATTTTAAAATAATAAATTATATTTTTTTTAATATTTACTATTGTTCAATAGAGTTTAATTAAATTTTTTAAAAAAATTATTAATTTTTTATTAATTAGAGTTTAATTAAGGATTTTTTTAAAAAAAATTATTAATTGTATCTTAAAAAATACAAAATGTCATATATTTTTTAGTAGAGTAGTTATTTTTTAGGAAAAACTAATCTTTTAATCCTTCAACTTTTAACTTACTTGTAACTCAGTCCCTCAACTATGACTCGCCGCAATTCAATTCCTTAACTATAACTCACTGCAACTCAATCTCTCAACTTTTGATTCACCTATAATTTGGTCCTTATTTTTTAATTTTTTTAAAAAAATTTTATTAAATAAGAGGGATAAAAAAATGCTCATATATTATTCTAAAATACCCTCTTCTTGCTCATTGATGTGAGATATAAGCTTACATAAAAAAAATTAACAAAAGTTGAGGGACTAATTTGTAAGTGATTCAAAAGTTGAGAGATTGAGTCATAGGCAAGTCATAATTGAGAGATTAATTCACAGTGAGTCATAGTTGAGGAACTGAGTTACAAGTAAATTAAAAATTGAAGGATTAAAAAATTAATTTTTTTTATTTTTTATTATAAATAAATTTGATATTTTTTTAAAAAATATATCATAAAACCATACCTGATAAGGCAGACTTCGAGTTTGATACCTAAATCACATAGCAAGAATATTTTTAAATAATTGTAAGAATAAATTGTAAATTGTACCATATCTAATCACCCACAAATTAAATGCCAGAATATTATCATAATTTAATATTGCAATGACATACATTTTAAGTGCATTGTATAGATGTTAAAAAATAGGATAAAATAGCAAATTTAATCATATATTATTTTTTGAGAAACATTTGATAGTCTAAACTATTAGATGATACAAAACAAATTATAAACTTTTAAAAATGGAGCATCTAGTAGCCCGCTGTCAACTTCAATTGACAAACTTTATGCGGGGCCCATAATAATATATGACATGACATAGACATGACATATCAATATGATAAAGGTGCAAATTTAGTCACAAACTATTTTTTAAGGAGCAGTGGGTAAATTTGACTTTAAAAAAATGGATCATCCAACATCTTTCTCTCAATTTTGATCAAATACCATTTATTTTTATACTTAGAAGCCAATAAAGCATCAATCTCTTTAATTTTCTTGCTTTTGTTCTCAGTACTGCTCGAGAAGAAGTTCAAAGAGTTCTTATATGAAAACATTTACAAGGATGATATTAATAAAGTAACAGCTTGATTTTATTAAGCATGAAAGAAGTTTGATTCTAACTTAATTTAATTACGAATTATTCTTCTACTTTGTTAGTGTTATCTTCGTAAATATTTTCAAATAAGAACCCCTTGAATCTTTTTTCTCGAGCTAAGATCAAGAATGAAAGTAAGAAAATTAGAGAGATTGATACTTTATGAGCGTTATAAGTATAAAATAAATGATATTTAGTCAAAATTGAGAGAAAGATGTTGAATAGTCCATTTTTTTTATAGTAGCAGTTATCTAGTACTTTTTAAAAAATAATTTGTAACTAAATTAACGTGTCGTGCTCGTGTAGTGCCATGTGTTATTGTGAGCTTCACATAATGTCTATCAACTAAAGTTAACGGTAGGTCGCTAGATATTTCATTTTTGAAACTTCATGATTTATTTTACAATATTTAATAGTTTAAACTATAAAATATTTCTTAAAAAATAATATATGATTAAATTTATACCTTTATCTTAAAAAATAAGTCACACTTTTCAGGATTTTGGATAGTGTAATAACTTGTTATTTATTTTATAATTTATGTCAATGTTATAATTTACTAAAATGTTAAATCGAAACTTTTTTCTAAACTAGGACATGACTGTAGTAGACATTAAAAAAGTTGAGAAAGGCATTAGATGAGTTTTATTTATTTTATTGTCATTTTCGCTTTTCATATCACCCTTCCTCGTTGGAAAGCTAAATGCGCATGGATAAGAAGAAAAAGCAACGGACCCACCGGCCACCAGGTCCTAATCTAGCGTCTGCTGCGTTCCGTGCGCTCCGAGTGCTCATCCATCCTCCTTACCCTCTATTTCAACTTAAAATGACTTCTGTCATTTTTTAAATTGATTTTTAAATATTTTAATATTATATTTATTAAAATAAAAAATTTTAACATTAAACCTGAACTATTTAAAATACATTTAAATATTTTATTTATAAAATTTATATTTTTAATATTATATTTATTAAAATAAAAAATTTAAATTTAAATAATTAATTTTTAAAATTTATAAATTTTTTAATATTAAGTTAGATTATTTAGATTATATCTGAATTGTCTAGAGTCTATTAGATAATTAAATTATAAAATTATAAAATTTTTTAATATTAAATTAAACTTTTAAATTAAATATGTATTGGCAATATATATAATGAATAGATTTATTAAAATTTTAAATTTTTTATATTTTTATATTAATAAATATAATATTAAAAATTTTTAAAAATTAATTTAAATAAACGGAAGAGATTAATTTAAATTAAAATGAAGGGGCCAAGTTTGCTTTGGCCCTGATCAACACCGAATACAAATCCCCTAATTCATTGGGAGATTTACATTGCACTATTAAATTAAATTAAAGGCCCCCTGCGACAAAATAAGATACATTCTCCTCGAATGAAAATACAAGTTATTTTTCATGAAATTATATCTCCAATATATTAACTATTTATTAATTTGTTTAATTATTCTAAACTAAATTACACTCCCAATGAATTAATTAATTATTTTTCAAATAATACAATCTTTCTATATTTAGCTTTATTTAATTGAATGTTTTAATTAAAAAACTTTATTAATTACACTCCTTAAATGTATTTTTTAAAAAAGATAAATGAATAAATTATTTTTTAAATTTTAGGTCTAATGATACAATAAATCCTAAATTTATTTATTATATAAATTGTTCCTTTAATTTTTAAATACAGTGCAACTTAACCTCTACTTTTAATAAAAGTTAACTTTAACAGTTAGTTGATAAAAAAAAATAACCTCAAAATTTTTTAAAAATGATAAAAAAAAATTTTTTTAATATTTTTTGGGGCCCTTGTTTATAATTTTTAGGTCATTTATTGTAATTTTTATTATTTTCTATAATTTATAAGGTCTTTTGTTATTTTTTATTAATCATTAATTTTTATTAACAGTACAAATCAAATTGTATTATTTCAAAAGTTAAAGGAATAATTTGTACAATAAATAAATTCAGGACCTATAATACTATTAAACCTAAAATTTAAAAAATAATTTGCTCATTTATCCTTTAAAAAAATCAATTATTATATCTTAAAATATCTAAAATGCATTACATTTTTTTAATATATTATCTCAAAAAATGTCCCATTTTTTTTTTAACAAAACAAGCTCAATGTCTTGTATTTTTTTGCCAAAATACCTTTATATTAATATAATATTTTCATATTTGAAAGAATCTCACTTAAAAATAGGAGTTAAATATTTTATTTATCAAGGATTTTTTAAAAAAATTCTTTAATTACACATTAAATATTAAAAATATCCTATATTTTTTTAAGGTCCAATCTCAGGAAATGTGAGAGAGAGAGAGAGGGAGGGAGGGAGAGGGAGGGAGAGAGGGGGCGGTTAGCTGTTATTTTCTTACTTACTTTTGACCTCATTATCCTTAGAGTCGATAGCTTCTTTTCAAGTCCCCAAGTTATCGTGTTGCTTCAAGCAATGAAAATAACAAACAATATCTGAATTCATATATAAAGACGCACCGAAACTAATGCAATCATCAAATAAATTTTCATTTCAAAACAAAAGCGAAACTTCTACAAGTGTTATAAAGTAATGCAAGAGGAAAAAATGACAACATAGAGACTAAAGAAGCCATAGAGAAACCACTCGCTCATTTGGATTTGTAGCTTGAAGTGGATTTTAATCTAACTAGCTGCTAAAATACATTGAACGATATATCTAATAAGGTAATCAGAAGAAAGAGGGAAACTACACACACAAAGTTACAATTATGATCATGTGAAGAGATTTACCACAAGAAGAACACTCACAATATCTGCCCTATTATACAGGGGAAGCAACCTTGGAGAACTCGTTTGTCAATTCTAGCTCCCCTGATTCATCGTCTAATGTCTCACGCCGAGGGCGTGACAGGAGTGATGAACTTGATTGTCAGCTCTAGCTCGCCGGACTCGACTCCCCGAAGCCGTAACCAAACATTTTGCACCAGCTCACCATTAACACTATTGATACTGCTTTCGCGAACAAGGCAGTTTTCATTGTCAGGTACAAGCTTCCTTATTGTCGTTTCGCCGGAGGAAACCCGTAAAATGTCTCGTATTCTGGCTGCAGAGACTAAGGGTTGAAGGTTGAGGAAGGCGTTTCCCATCTTGTCGTCACTCTTTAAAAGATCCTTATCAAATACTTCCTATATGAAAAACAAGTTAGCCTTGCACAACTTGGTAAACCAATCAATGATAATTGATGTTGAACTCAGTACTTGCCCACAAAAATGATCAATTCACTATCAATATACTCTATCCGATCTCTCTATTATAAGACACCACTAACTACCTCATTGGAACTAAGAAAAGTTAGTTAAGCCATCAACTTTTTCTAAAAATAGAATAGACTTCCAATTTTGCTCTTATTTAAATGAAATTTTTCAAATTCTCATCACTTTTTCTCTCATAGGTAATGAATTTAAATAGGGATAATATTAAAAACAATGTAATCAATACTCCTATAAATAGGGGTAATATTAAAAACAATGTAATCAATACTCCTATCAAATATCTTAATTTAAGGACTAAAAAAATCTTTCTAAAAAGTGCCCATAAAAGAGACCAGAGCGAGTATAGTAAAATACATATATGCATCTTCAAAACAAAACTACAACGAGAAATTATATTTTACCCCCAACATAATTACAACATTAAAAATGCAACAAAGCCCCTCTAGATCGTTGGATTGACATGAAAACACTGAATTTAACTGCAAGATGTCACTTCCTCACTTTAACAATCTTCATGAAATGGTATTAGGTTGGGATGAAAATACAGATAAAAGAGAACGTGCGAGAATCATGGAACCTCTTGCAGTTTCTTTTAACTAGGAATTGGTATAATCATTTTAGACATAAGTTCAAGGAGATGTTTAGTTACCTATTAAAATTTATTATAACAAGATGTAGATCCCGGTCCCTCTTACTTTTCATAGAGTTTGTGGAATAATGCAGGTTGCTATAGATTTTATATTGTATTATTGGTACTGATTTTTGTACCAAAATTTTCACTAGGTCTTAGTTCATGGTGTTAAAATACAGCATATTCCCAACTATTAAAGCATAGAAAAAACTCCTGCAAAAGGGGATAATTAAAGATAGGGGTGGAATCTATGTATTAAGTTCATGTTAACATGTGTAAAGCCCATGAAGGTAACTAGCATCAAATCTCCAGATCTCAGATGAACCTCAACAATCTTTTTGACTTTGAGAGAAGGGGTGGGGTGGGAAAGCCACTCTGTCCAGATTTCTTAGATAGTTTGCAAACATGAGAAATAACTATGTTGACATTTGCAGTTGCAGTAATATACTTATTTGAAAACAATTCTAGAGTTCTAAAGAGACAGATAGTGCTGGTCGATGGTGGTTTATAATGACAGCCTATAATAGTGATTGGTCATAGCTTAAGGTAATTTACAACGGTCAAACGTCATGTGATCTAAAAATAAGAAATGAAAATGAAAACAGTTCTGAAAATGTTTGAATCCAAAACACTTAACCAAACGAATTTTTGTACTTATTTATTTTTAAAAATGGAAAATAGTCTTTGAAAACAAAAAACAGCAGGACCTTATTGGAACAGTATTATTATTTATAGTCCCCCATCAATTGAAAATATGTTCCAATAGATTATGTCCTCATCCAAGGTCATAAACATCACTTCTTTAATCTTAAAACACAAACTCTATTCTCAATTTTCTGTACGTCTCTCCATTCAATGTGGGACTTGGAAAAAAGGTATAAACATGTCATTACCAGAATATTGATGTGAAATGAACCCAAAAAATGGCTAAAAAAGTTTATGGTGACCTAGGAGATTTGATAACCCAACAATAAAGGCTTTGCAAAACAAAAGTTTGGTTTTGCCAAACTATCAAATTATGACCATTATATTTGCCAACAGCCAGAGAATCTACGAAAGCTGCAGAACTACCACATGAGAATCAAAAGATTTATTAATTCATGATGTTGAGATTATTATCTGAGAAAACAGACCTAATGTAACCAGACATCCAATGTTGACTCTTGGAAGATTGTAGTTATAAGTTATTAGTAAACACATTGATGATTTTTCATGCTATAAAGATGAAGGAAAAGGGCAAAAAAAGACATTTTAAGTTCTGATTAGCATCTATTAATTCAAGAAGCATTATAAACATAGATCTGACAGGAAACTCACCAAATTTAGAACTCCCACGGGTTCTGTCAGAGTGAAACTGAGCTCTTCGTTCCAAACAGGATTCAAGCAACTGTTGATCACCTTAGTCTTTGCTGTCTGATACAGTTTAATGAGTGTCAACAACACTTGAGATTATTGTATGCCACACAATGCTAATAATGTCAAGTGAAACAAGTCAAGAATGAAAAATACACCCTTGGTACCTGATTTCCTAGCTTGACCACGACATAAGGATCGCTACTCTTGAAATCCCGAATCACTAATCGTTTTCCTTGCACAACTATGACTTTCAAAATCCCCAAGTGTTCCCCCATTATACAATGCTAAAACCATGTCAGATTTATTTATCAGCAATACAATTTTACCTTGAAAATGAATTATACTTATGAGAATGATAATAACCCAAAACAAATCTTGAACCGAGAACATCAACAAATTATCATAACAAACAATTGATTCCAACAATGGCCATCAAGCAACATGTAAGAAAAAGTCTAACGGTCTGGAAGAATTACATAGGAGAATCTAAATTTTTTTAACAAGAAGTACGGACTCAAGTTTATTTGAAGTAAGAAAGTTAAGTGATTCATATGATGGTATTAATGAACATAGATCCCAAAAATAAGATCACAGTACACAGAAGTAACCATGTTTTTTCCTCCTTTATCCTTATCTGTCTTAATTTGTCATGAGCACCTTGATCCTTGGAAAAGGTAAATAAGCTTAAGTAAAGGGAATAAAAATGAATTCTCTGCAGAGAAATACCATTAAAGAAGCAAGATTAGCAAACTCACCAGGAGAACTAGTTTTCAAATTTCAACTAAATTGTAAACACACTCAAAACAAAATCTGAGCAGGACAAGAAAGAAAAGCAACAACCCAGAGAATGAAATCTAGCATCAACAGAAGCTACAGAAAACTGAACTAAAATGAGGAACTGGAGAGAGCATATTCCTAGTATCCTCAGTTATTCGACAGACGAAGAAAAATTACAATTGGTGGTATGAAAGTGAAGTAGAAAGAACTAAAAACGAGATCTTCTTTTCAATTTTTTAAGCGAAAAGCGAAAAAGCGAAGAACGAAAGAAAGCAGGGAGGGAGAGCTAACCGACGGAGCAGGAAGGAGATGGCGTGGCAATGTTGGTGGAAGCATTCAATGGGGCGTGGTGTGGGATTTAATGGGGGCGGGACAACCTCGTAGGAACCGGCAACTACCGGTGGAGGAGGGGATTTCAGTTTCAGAGTGACGGGCACGTGGCGGTCTGAGGCATCTGAGGGGGTGGTCGGTGGTTTGACTGGACCTTGTCATGGCCAGTTCAAGCGCGTTCGCGTGACACGGTGACAGTATTTTACTGCTGACTCCGACAACGCTCGGTTAATTTTACCAAGTTCCATAAAATCAAACCAGTCTTGGTTCATAAGTTAGTAATTCAATTAAGGTTGAATTGAGGGTTGAATTGATGACAAATCAGTCATAATTAAAATAATATAATTTAAATAAAAAGATATTAATTATAAAAATATTTAACCAAATCTAACCACTCAAAAGTCTAACAGTAATAAAATACAACACTTTAAATATCTATCTTTACAATTACAACCCTTCAATCTCAAAAATCTAGAGAAGAGATGGAGACAGAGCTGGAGAAGAGACAGAAATTGAGTCAGAGAAGAGACGGAAAGTCAGAGACTAAGTTGGAAAAGATATGGAGATAGTAAAGATGGAGATAGAGTTGGAGAAGAGACGGAGACAGCAGAGACGGAGATAGAGTTAGAGCCTAGAGAAGAGACAGAGACTGAGCTAGAGAAGAGACGCCGATTAGGTGAGGATGAGAGAGGAGAGACACAGACAAAAAGCCGAACTGAGTGCTATTTGAAAATCTGGATTGGACTTAGCGTGCTCTGCCTCTAATTTTTTATTTTTTGACTTCAGTTTTACTTTTTTTTTTGTTATCTTATTTCTAAATTTAGCGCTTTGGAAAATCAAAAATGAAAAAAAAATCTCCCAAAACGACATTGTTTGAGGGGTTTTGTCTGAAAAAAATAATAACCCGGTTAACCCAATCAACCCACCGGTTATACCAGGTTGAACTCGAGTTGACCAAGTTACACCGGTTCATTCCCTCACTGGTTTAGGAGTAAACCCAAACTGGAGAAGGGACCCGGTCACCAGTTTTCAGGTTGACCCGCCCGGTCCGGTCTAAGTTTCAATATCATGAATTTTACTAGTCTAGTCCTTTCGAAATTTTTTATTCAAAACATAGCCTCTCGCCTATTTATAAAGCATATTTTAAAAAATTTATTTAATTTTATTTATAAGTCATAGTATAATTTTTTAAATTATATTTAAAAAATATTTTTAAAATTTCTTTTCATAAAAGAAAAAAAAGTAACATGATATTAATTTTTATATTTATTATATAGGGACATATTTATAAACTTTTTATTTTTTATACTTTTTTTATATTGATATTAATGAAGTTGGTAGAATTAATTTATAAAGAGAACCGGAGGAGTACATTGTAATATTTAAATTACTTTTTCAATTTTATTTGTTTTTTATTAATGTGAAGATATTTAATATAATTATATCATTATTTAAAATTAAAGGTAAAAATAAACGTATATCTCATTTTTCATGATATTAGGAAAAAAATAATTTTTTTAAAATATATAACATAATTAAAAGTATTTTATAATTAGAATCATGAGGAGTATTTATAAAAAAACAAAAAAAAATTGTTAATCTAAAATTTGTTATATATTCACTTAAAAAATTGATGGTGTAAAATGGGAGTGTTATACCTTTAGACGTGTCAAACATATCAGAAGAGCAAATCCTGAATATAAGTGATTGTGATTGGGAGTTCTCAAGTCCATTATTCCGATTGTCTTAGGTTGCCTAAACTAAGCAGGCGAGGGTTGTGATTGCTTGATAGAAAGGCAAACTGTATCAACTGAAATGGTGGAGAGGAATAGTGAGGTTCTGATGATCATTGAATCTTAATAACTATTATAGTAATGTGAGGATTGTGTGAAAAGGAAAGGTCCCAAATTCTCAACTTAAGGAAAGTTTCAAAAGTAAAAGTATTAAAAAGTGAAAATAAGCTAGTAAATAGATATAAAAAAAAGTGGGTTGGCATGCACAATGACAAGTCAATATAAAACAATCATAATAACTTCGCTCAAGACTGATTTGTGCCTCCTATCATCATCCCTTTCCCAGGACCGCAGCACTTCTCCAAAGATTGTGTTGGCTGCCTGCGAAAATCATTACAGATATGCCTTCAAAAAATCTTTCAAGATTGAACCGTGGTTAAGAGATATGATATAAATATGTAACCTGTTCCTCTTTAAAAAAAAAAAAAAAAATTGGAGGGTGGAGGTTGGGGAGGTCCCTCCACATATAACTTAGGTCCGCTTTTGATTATTTTCTTTTCAATTATATTTTTGAAAAAAATATAAATTTAGGTTCTTACAATTTATTTGAGTTTTTTCATAAGTTGTTGTATTTTTTTTTGTGCTTTAAATCTTTGCATTTTTTTTTATATTTTATGTTCTTATATTTTTATTTTTTAGTGTTCTAAGTTACTTGGAACACAAAATATATATATATATATATATAAAGACCTATAATAAAATTTAAATAAAGTGTAAGTATTTAATATTATATTTTTCTTATTTTTTATAAAGATTCAACATTCATATAAAGTATTTTACAAATTATATTTTTTGGTTTCATAAATGGCACGCACGCAATGGTAGGTTGTCTCACTTTTAGCGCTAGGTCCACCATTCAAAGCCCATGTGTTATATACTTCTTCCTTTAAAAATATAAAATATTTTTAATTAAATTTTATTATTAATAAAATTATTATTTATCTTTAAACTAACTTTATATTTTTATATTTATCTTTATTTAATAAGATATTTCATCTTAAAAAATATAAAATGATATATTTAATAGAGACAATTTAAAAAAAAGATAATGATTACACCTTAAAAAATTAAAAATGTTTTACATTTTTTGACATCAAATTCTTTTAAAAATGCCTTACATTTTTAATAGAGGAAGTATATACATATACACACAATTGATTACTTAAAAACAGTTATTTTTTCTCTAGCCACACAATTTCAAATAGGCAGTGCAAAAAATAAAATAAAATTAAGCAATATTTTATATTTAGAAATTAAAATAAAGATAAAGTTAGATATCGAAATAAGTGAAGGAAGAAAGAATATTTTTAGGGGAATGACACTTATATAAATAAAAAATTAATTTATTGATATTTTTGTTTAAAAATGTTAAAAATAATTTACAAATATTTATTTACAAATTTTCTGAATTTAGAGTATCTGAATCTATATTTACAATTCATTTGTCATTGAAATTTTTATAGACCTAATTGTTTATAAATTGGTTTCCAAATATCTATGACACCCACAATTATATAAGTAGAGTTCGGCTAGAATGACATGAAGGAACACAACTGTTATACCTCTTGTTTTGATGCTAATAAATCCATGAGAAAATGTGTTTTGCAGAATTTAAAGAATACCCAATAACAAAACAATCAAGCTATTAGAGAGACTTTTTTTTTCTTAAAAAAAAAAAGAAAGTCGTCACAAGTATCAAGCTGGAGTGATTCAAGAGAAAAAAACTTAGACCTTAGATTTTATTGTTTAATTCTTTGAATTTCTTGTAAAAGAGTGTAGAGAGCTTGATTTTAAAATGAAAAATATTTTTGAAAAAGTAAAGAGCGAAATAATTATGAGGAGAGTTTTGAGATTCGTGATTACGAAAAGTTATAAGCGCGAGCTGTACTTCAAAAGTTCTAAAAACTTCCACCGATTGCGGAAGAAAAAGACGGGGATAATTAAATTGAAGGGTGACCTGGGATTATAATAGACATCAAATCAACCTTCAATTCCATATCTAAAACTTAGAAAACCAGCTATAGTATTTAATTAGTGTATCAAATAAGATTGAGTAGAGTAATAAGTGCGTATTTGAAGAATTTATTATTACTTGAGATACCTCGATTACTTCAAGCATAAACAGATATACAACTTACTAGACCAGTTCAGAGATAATGAAGAAAATGAAAGCTATGGTGTGTCTTGTGGCTATTAACTGATCAGTATATATGGACTAGATCAGTAACCGTTATATTAAATAAATTAATTAATTATATTTTATTATTTCTGATTAAGTCAGTTAAGAAATAGAAAATAACTGAAGGTTATAATATTATAAGTTGAGCCTCTATCTATTGGACTTATCTATCACGATTTACATAAAATTATAAAGATTAATTTATTTAAACTTACTAATTAATATAAATTTATAAATAAATATTCCAACAAGGGTCCGATGGTAATGCTATTGGTTTCGATCCTGTGTCTGATGTTTTTATTAATAGCAATAGGATGAGGAAAATTTTCAAATTAGGAATTGGTAACAGTTTCTCTGAAGTTGGCCAAGTGAATCACATTTTCATGATGAAAATAGCAATTGTTCCGCCGACAAGAGAAGCCGGAGTTTGCTAATGAGGCAAGTTGCACGTGACAAGTTATTTAGTTATTGAAGTTTTTCAGTAACTAGAGACAAAGTAAGTCAATATTTTGGAGTCTCTGCAGAAAGCTTGATGTATAGAACAGGAAAAGGGATAGAACATGAGATATTGTATCTTTCAGATCCACACCCACATTTTCTTGGGCATTTCAAACAATCTGCACACCATTTTCTTTAGAATGAGTTTAATCCTTATCATATGCAATCTGCTTCATGTTAGAACCAGTTAAAATTATTATATACTAAAAAGAGAAGAGAACAAATGTGTTTAATTTGAAGATTGTGTTTGTCTATAGTTCTGTTTTAATTGTTATTAAGTAATCAATCGAAAAACAAACAAGTGGGAGATTATGATCTTGAAATATAAACTGAAGATTAGACAAAGCTATATCTGTATCTTTTTGGCCGTTGAATTGTTGTCAAAGTGCCTTTTTGCTTACGAAGAGTTGCAAAGAATATTACTTTTGGAACTTTCACTTTAACTGATGCATTAAAGAAGGGAGTTAGAAATTCTCAGTATCAAATCTATCGAAGTTTTTTTAAAAGCTGTGGAATTGTAAATCTTTATTTTCAACCTTAAGACTCTTAGCTTACGCATTCTTCACTTCTTAACGATGCTTGATGAAAGCCCTTTAGAATTACCTAAAATAAAATTTGATTTCTGGG